TTCCTTCACTTTGTTGGAGAGTAAAAGACAGCTAGATCTAGTTTCTGTAACCATAAAGTAATATTTTCATACATGCAAGCAGACTACCAATTTTTTTTAGATTAAGGAGGGTGGGATTGATGCCGCCCATTCCACAATTTTGTGAACTTCAACTCATTTGTAGTTTACGTACTTCGTATGTTCCCCTTCAAGTAAAACACATGTGTGCATGTGTGTGCATTTAAATTTATTTAACCGAATGACTCTTACTACTCCAGTTAAGGTGACAATGTTGCCTGGAGCTCAGCAATTCTGAGTGGTTGCTGTACCTGTAAAATCCTTATTAATGGCCATCAGTATAGCAAGCACCATCAGAAAGCCTTGGAAACTTCTAGGAGAAATCAGGACAAGGCTGACTTGGGGACGACTGGCTCCGATGTTATATTTGGTGTCAGGCAAGCTCTCCAAAGACGGTCTTGTCTGGAAGGTGTTTTCATACCTCACTGGGGTTATGAGAGAAATGCGCTGTGTGTGGATCTTTGCATTGGGAAGGATCTAAGTGGGTAGCTGAGTGGATTAATCATTGGGGATTTTGCCCTGAGAACCTCAACCTGCATCATTATAACACCTCTCTCCCTTTCTCCCGTAAAGCTGCTGGTCTTCAGTGGGAAATAGGCATGTTGGGAGGCAAGAACTCTCCATTGGGGCAAACTGTGACAGAATAGCAACGATTCAACATGAGTTTCTCCATGCGCTGGGATTCTGGCATGAGCAGTCGCGCTCTGATCGGGATGACTATGTCAATATAATTTGGGACAGAATTCAGTCAGGTATATTTCTCTTGTTTCCTTATATTTTCAGTTAGCTAAAGGCTGAATTTCTAAGCATGAGGCCCTCTCCTGCTATCAACATGTGTGCCACCTGTTGATAATGGAGAAACTTTGATGTTTTGATGTCTCATTTCATGTAGTTCTAACTCACTGCGAAGTGGCTGAAGGTTGTTGGGGCACAGTCTCTAAGAACCCTAGAACATTTGAGCTGGATATGACCTTAGAAACTCGTGCTTTCTGAAGCATGTTTTATGGCGTGCTGTCCCACAATATGCTCACAGGTGTTGTGTGGAAAGGAATGTGTGGTCAAATTGGTTTGGGAAATCTTAGGTTAAAAGAAATTTAACTTACAGTTACTCACACTGTTAGTCTTGGTTAGATTAACATGAATTGTAGATCTCCAAGAGAGGAGCGTTTCCCAAAGTGACCTGATCATGGTTGTTTTGTGTTTTCTTTTTTGTGGAATATTTGGGTTTATTGTTCCCTGTGTTTCCCATATTGGGAAACACTGCAGGAGTCGGGCAGCCTGGGCTTTTTGTGACTTTGTGTTCCAACTCAGAAAGGTCTTACCACCATGCCCAACTCGAGCTCATGATTTCCACATTTTTTTCCACAGTGACACTTAGTGTCCTGCCTCCGATGGTGGAGAGAATAGTATTGCTGTCACGAGAGGTCCTGTGAAGACTTCCCTATACTGAGGCCCCCAGACATCACAATTTTAACATCACAGCTTGCTCCTTACCACCCCTCCCCCAGTGTCTAGGGACCTCAACTGGGCTGAGGCACAGCAGCAAACTAAAAGATTTCTAAAGCAAGAGAAGTATTTAGTTTTACTCCATACTCTCGTTCTTTAGGATTCCCAAAGTCTTATTTTTGGTAGAAACTTCTATATTCTTTGGAGATCAGATCTATCTCATTGTGTTCATAAAATCGTCCAATTTCAAGTAGCAATCAGTTGCCTATTACTATGATGCTAAGCAGTCTCATATCTTCTCTAAATGTGTCTGTATTAAACACAGCTACACATATTCCAGGAACCACGAAACCCCTGATTATGTCAATCCTTTCTAATGTCTCTACGTTGTTGTTCCTAGGTCTCATCCCACCACACTTCCCAAAGTCCTCTTATTTTCATCTCCATCTTCTATGATGCCCCCAGCCCGCCAGCATCACCTG